TTTTGCATTTTACGGAGTACTATTTTAGGTACATACAAAAAAAAAAACAAAGGAAATAGGTTGGAATCTAACAGTCTAAACAATTTAGTCTTTGTGAAATTTAATGCAAACTTGATGAACAAAAGGAAAAAAGAGTAAAATGTTGAATTATTACTTGCTAGTGATGCAAGTTTGGCATAAGATTGGATTGTTGATAATGATGAAGTTTAGGTTTCCAACTTAGGTTTATCCTTATGGTATGGTCTTGATTTGAGTCGATCAGTTATGGACAACTTTGGTTGGTTTATCCTTGTGGTCCTTTGCCACTAGGGTCACAAAGTAGAATTTACCATATGCACACCCTTGATATATAGTGATTATGAGTTTCCTTTATCATACAAAGATAGTATAATCTAGCTTTTCATATCATTTAATTGAAAAATTAATTAGTAATATGATTCTCTTTTTATTGATTCTTAAGATATTAACGAGTGTCAAAACCAAAAGAAGAACAAATTCCCAAAGAATGCAGATTCTGTAAATATTTCAGGCAGCTACTATTGCACTTGTCGACAAAACTACAACAATCATTTAAATGAATCCAATCCACAAGATACACTTGTATACCTGATTATTAAAGGCATATTTTGGTCATGAACATTTTATTTAAGTATGGATACAAATAAATAAATATTTGAATTTAGAAGCCACAACAATATATAAAATGTACATCTATCTATCTTAAATCCAAAACTTTTAATGAATTGAATGAAATAATGTTTTCACAAGCAGGTGTTGGAGTGAGCATAAGTGTTCTATTCCTTGTGGTCAATGCTTTTTAACATAATCGCATGTTCAAAAGGAGGAAACTTGAGAAAACTAAACAAAGGTTCTTCAAGAGGAACGGTGGCTCCTTGTTGTAAAAACAAGTAGTGTCTTGTAGCAGAGGAAGTGTATTACTAGCAATGTTGAAAAAATCGCTAGGCGCCCTCTAGGCGTGGGGGGACCGCCTAGGGCCCTTAGGCGGGCGCCTAGGCCGCCTAGGAGGCCGGGCGCCTAGCGCCTAGGCGTGATTTTTACAACAGTGATTATTAGAAATGAAAATTTTCAAAATAGAAGATTAAAGCAACAAGGAGCTACCGTTCCAAGTATTCGACTTTGGTTGACATTGTGTCTGTATGCAAATATATCACACCCTACTGCTATGAACTTATTCTTGATTTGTGACCCTAGTGGCAAAGTCGAATGTTGCTATGAACTTAGGTTTGTGACCCGGGGTGGCCGGGTGCGCATGGGCGCGACAGGGCGCGTGCCACGCCCCTCTGGTACGCCGCCTGTCGTGCCTTGGCCCGTGCCTCACCGTGTTCTTCGCGGGGTTGGCGGAAGGTCTGGGGTACGTAGCGCCTGGTGGATGGAAGAGGAGTTGAGGCGGTTTCACGACAAGACAACGTGGGACGCGTGTCTGGTTGGGATTGACACCTCTTGGATACTGTACATGTGGAGGGTGCAGGTGGTCCCTCTAGTAATATAAGGATGGGGGGGGGGGGGGGGTCTGGTCCGTGTAAGGCATCCATTAAGACACGATTGTAATCCTGGTCTAGTGGTTTGGTCTCCTTCCCTCTTGCTGGTGTGCCTATGTTCAAATTTTGGTGGTAACGTAATTTAGGTTATTTTATTCTATTTATTCACTAGTCCTTCAATTACTTATCTATTTATTATTTGGACCGATGCTTTTGGACTTCGTATATATTTTATTGGGCCTTGCGCCCTAGTAATAATTTCATTTGTGTGTGTGTGTGTTAATCAAACCCCATTATGTGTATTCAGTTAAAAGTTTATGTGTATTGTGTTATCAGTTTATGTGAATTCAGTTAAGATTTTATGTGTATTCAGTTAAGAGTTTATGTGTATTATGTTATGAGTTTATGTGTATTATGTTATAGTTTATGTGTATTATGTTAAGAGTTTATGTGTATTATGTATTATGTTAGATTATGTGTATTCTGTTATGAGTTTATGTGCATTCGAAATAGATGATTTTTTTTAACAACTTAACAAAACGATGTCTTTTTGGGAGGCGCGGGGCGCACATTGCTATGTGCGGCCTGGTGCGCGGTATAACGATTATAGATATATATATATATAAGTATGTGTGTGTGTGTGTGTGTGTGTGTGTGTAGAGTTAATACCCATTTTGGTCCCTCAACTATTAGCTAATGCGCAATTTAGTCCCAAACTATTAAAACTATCTGACAGGATAATGGTGCTGGCACCCGACCCGGATCATAAGCAGCACCTGACCCGACACCATATTTAACCCAACATCGGGTGGAATTCCAACAGGCAGAACTCCAACGGGCAGAACACCAACGGGCAGAACACCAACGGGTGAAAACATTATGGCTATTCATTGCATTGAAGGGAAAGAATTAAAGCTGAGCGCCTCATTCATGATTCTTCATGCTATTGTCGTTAGCCTCAGCTCCCTAATTATGACTCTTCATGTTGTTACCGTTAGGACTTAGCATAAATAGAGCTCCCCTCAGCTAGCAAGGAGGAGGACACACTGTACTTTCTATACTGAGACAAAAGGCAATACAACTATTGTTGCTCTCTTATAACGTTATTATAGTATTATTATTACCGGTAACATTATTACCGTCACTATCCAATTTAGTCCTCTAACTTGTGAAATTATACCCAATTTGGTATTCCGTTACAATTGCCATCCATCCACCGTTATAAAATATAAAGAGGGACAAAAACGTCATTTTATCATAGTCGAGGGACCAAAATGGGTATTAACATAGTCGAGGGACCAAAATGGATATTATTATTATTATTATTATTATTATTATTATTATTGATTTGATATTTGATATTGGGACAATGTCTCCCACCTCCATATTACTTCCTATTATTTTAAAAATTAAAATGTACCACAAAAAATCATGCGCGGTCTTTCCTCTATTTTTCTTTTCTCTCTTGAGGCCAATGTCAAGGAGCAAAGAAAGAAGAGGAAACGAGTGGTTGAAAACAAGTATTTCCTTCATTAGCTCTTCACAACTGAATGCAGAAGATTATATACATCAGGAAGGAGGGAAAGAAGCTAACTAAACTAACTGCTACAGCCTAAGTGCCTAACTACTTTAACAGAACCAAACAGAATCAAGAGAGTGATAGGATTATGCCAAGTGTCATTAATCCTACACTCCTAATAGCCCACAAAAACCGTTATCTCTCCCATGAATTCAAATTATTGTGTAGATCATGGTCCACACAATTGTGTGGACCATGAATATCAAGTACATTTTTAATATATTAAAAGTACATTATTTTTTTACTGAAGGTACATTATATAAAATAGTGTACCCTTAATATATTAAAAATGTACTTTCAAAAAATGTATATTACATACATAAATAATGTATCTTTAGAATATTTAAAATGTACTTTTTATTTATGGTCCACACAATTGTGTGGACCATGGTCCATGCAATAATGATTGTCAAAATACCCACACTCTCTCTCTTTCTCCTCTATCCTGCAACTCATATTGGACCCTACAAAAAATCATAGATGGGGTTGCTCTTTATTTAGTTTTGTACATCAATACTAGGGGTTTGCAATCGGTTAACCGAATCGTTTTAATCAGAATTTTAAAACTTTAACTACTAACCGAATCGAATTTTGTATTACCGAATTAACTAAACTAGAGTTTTTTTCGGTTAATCGGTCGGTTAACCAATTAACCGAACTTTTTAAAGCTAAAGTTTTAATTCCTAAAAATAATATTGATAATAATAAATCTAATTAAAACAATATATATAATAATAAATCCATAAGAAAATATACATAAACAATATCATAACAACATTAGCTTTTTTCATAACAACATTTTTCAAAGATTTTTTCAAAGTTTTTTTTTTAGAGAATTTCATAATTTGAAGATTAAAAAAAAAAATCAAATTTGGGTAGTCCAAAATATTTGTTTTGTATTCAAAGAATTTTCTCAGTAAGGTGTGTTTGAAAATTCGAAAAATAATTTCTGAAAATAATTTTATGAATTTTCAGTATTTGGTTAAAAGCGAAAAATGTGAGTCAAAGGAAAATGTCCTTATTTTCTTGAAAAATAACTTTTTTTTTAAGGTCACCATTTTCCATAACAAAAATTTCCATAGCTAAAGCTTCAGTTGATGGCGTGACAACCGCTTTCGCGGCGAGGACAACCCATAACGATAGTGTTCATGACGAGGACAACCCGTGGCGACCAAGCTTCCATAGATAAATCTTCTTGTGAAGGCGGCACACCACAAGGACTACGTACGACAACTGCGTTTTTCATTCTTCCTTTTACTTGCGACGGCGATCTTCCATATCTTCCAGTAGGGCTTCTATTTTTGAACTTCCTTCTTCCACGACATCCGTTTCTGAGCATCCAATAGACTAACGAAAAACAGCAGTTGCAGCTTCCCGCGGCGAACAAACGGTAATGACAATAGGAGCTTCCGACTACGAAGTCGCTAGCTACAACAACTTCCAACGGTGTCCTAAGATCCTAAGTGTAATATTTGATTATATTTAAAATTATTATTATTATTATAAATATAAATGTTATGTATTCTAAACAAAATAATTAAAATTTTAATTATATAATTCTGCTCATTTATGAAAAATGAACTATATACACCAAGACTTTTTTTTTTTAATACAACCAAACACTAAAAATAAAAATATTTTCTGAAAAAAGACTCATTTTTTAAAAAATATTTTTCAGAACTCGTTTTTCTATTTCTAAACAAACTCAATGAAAATTGAAAACTAAATTAACTGATTTCCAAACTAAACAGTTTGTTTTATTTATTAACTGATTTCCAAACTAAACAGTTTGTTTTATTTATTTATTTATTTATTTATTTATTTCGAAATATTAACCGTTTAAATCCATTGAAAGAAAAATATAAAACAGTGTTTCCTTTCTTGGCTCGTGCTCTTTACATCATTCGCCCTTTCTTCCATTTTGCTTTGGATTTTGTTCTCTGAGAATTGCATTTTGCAAAACTCAAAATCGCAGTGAATTGGGTGTTGGAAGTGCATAGCGGACTGTTTCTGAAATCCCAATTGATTATGCGGAAAGTGTTTCCTTCTCCGTCGTCTTCTTCTCCGTCGTCTTCAACACCTGCAGCGACGGTGGAGGCGCCTGATGAGCAGCGGAGGCGAGATGAGCCGGCGCCGAGAGGGAGAGGAATGACGTACAAGACGAAGGTTATTCAGTTCCTGGGCCGGACCACTCCTATCGTCCTCCAGAACACCAATGGCCCCTGCCCTCTGCTTGCTATCTGTAAACTTCCCTACTCTGTCGTAGGGTTTTTTCGTGTGTATAAATGTGCATGTGTAGTTCATGTCGTATATGAACTCTCTTTACCATTTTATTTGTTAATTTTGCGATTGCGACTTCGCTTGAATCCAATTTGTGTGTTCTGGACGAAGAAGTGATCGTTTGACTGTTCGAGACTGTCAGCTTGGATTTGAATTCTTTGAATATTAGTACAAGGATACATTATCTTGATCAAGATCGGTAATATAAGCTACAAATTAGTGTTCCTTGATATTTATTTTGATTTTCTTTTGAATTTGAAGTTTGTCACCTTACAAAATTATTTGAAGACCGTGTATGGTTGTTGAACTTTTGATGCTCCTAGTTTGCACTTAATCTGGTTGATCATGAAGTGCATTGGATTTGTCCTTATTTTTTCCTTTTGCAGACCAAGTTTCTGATCGATGTTTCCTCATGTAACCTATAGGCAATATATTGTTGTTGAAGAATTGTTTGCAGTTGAATCCTGATGTCCCTGAGGTGTCACAAGAAAAACTCCTTTCACTTGTTGCAGAGAGGCTGATTGATTCAATCACTAATGTCAATGTAATTCCTCTTCATAGCTTATTTTAGAAAACTTATATTTCTAATTGCACTTACAGAGTAGACAGATGGTAGGGTTAATGGATATACAGGATGAAGACACAGGATATGTTAACAATCCACAACAAAACATCTCTGATGCAATTGACTTGCTTCCTAGACTTACAACTGGAATTGATGTAAATATAAAATTTGAAAGGTAGTTTATCTTGCCTCTTGATTTTTATTGTTTCTTTAACTACATTATCCATCATGATCACCTGGTTTGTGGTGTATTATGTTTATGACTGTAATGGTGTGCATGTGTTGCCGTTATTTGCAGAATTGGTGACTTTGAGTTTACTCGGGAATGTGCCATTTTTAATATGTTGGATATTCCTCTCTATCATGGTTGGATAGTTGATCCGAAGGTATGAGTTTTTAAACATAATTTACTAATGAAGTTTCTTGCTGGACTATTTAAGAAAGCTTCAGTTTCTCCTCTCCTTTATATTTTCTCTTTATAATCCTTTCATAGATGATCTTAACTATAGTCTATAGCAAACTTCTGTGGTAGTTTTCACTGTGCATGGAGTATTTTTTTTTTTTTTCCATGCTGCCTCAAGCCATGGCTTCTCTGTTCCACTTTTTATGATATTTTGATTTTTTTTTTAAATGTTAAAGATGTTCTTCTGATGTAATATTTCATATTGACTTACTCATTTTAGTGATTAATTTTAGTTTCCTTCTAGAAGCTTTTAATTTAAAGGAAATTTAGTGTTCTAATATGAAATTGATGCTAAAAGGGAATCCATTTTGACCCTGAAAGTTAAGTGTTGTAAATTTTCATATCATCAAATAATCATCCTTCTTTTTTATCAGGATCATGATACTGCAAAAGCAATTGGATCAAAGACATATAATACTCTGATGGGGGAGCTTGTAGCTCTTGAAACACGAGATATGGGGAGTGAACATAAGAAAAATGCTGAAGATGATGGTGTTGATTGTGTTGCTGCAACAACTGCAGCACTGGGGGTGCCTGATTCTTCTGTTTCCATCTCTGACAAACACAAGGCAGGAAAAGGAGACCTTGAAGAAGAAGAAGATTTGCGAAGAGCTTTGGCACTGTCTATGGGTGAAGGGCCAATTTCTTCAGTAGATGATTTACTTACTAATGTACAAAATTCACCAAATGTGGTTGCGAATATCAAAGATCATGAACGACTAGTTTCTGACAAAGCATCAGAAATAAATGTTGCCAAAGACTCTTCCCAGCCTGAAGCACCAATTTCCAATGTAGTCACAGTATCTGATGATTTCGTTCTTAACCCAAATAGCTGTGAATCAGAGTCAGCAGGAGTAGCTGCTAGTTCCTCTCCAAGGATTGGTCATGATCCGTCCAAAGATACCCAAGAGCCAAATTTGCTGGTTGAGAACATTGACCAATCTGAAGACATTCCCTCATCTGCAGGTGGAAGTCATGTGCGTATAGTTGGGGACAATATAGATATTAAAGATTCTGATTTGTCTAGTGGAAGAAGACAAGACTCGGATGATCCTGAAACTTTTACTTCTAGTGGTGACAGTAGACATGTTCACAATGAAAGTCCCAAGGATGGAATCTCTGCAAGAGAGGGTAAGAGTTGTTTATAGGAAGAAATATCAATTTGGCACCTATATTTCTGTTGTCTAGTCAAGTTTTCCCTATTTTATTTTATCAAATTTAGTTTTGCTTATGCTGTTTACTTCATTTTTCCCTGACTAGTAGTAATTTTTTTTTGCTTTCCATTAATTTAACCTAATTCGTACCTGACCCTACCACATAAGTCATTGACTGCTAAATGTCAATGAACAATTAACATAAATAAAGAACAAAATAATTGAACTTTTATGTGTCAAGTAGCAAATTGATTAGATAAATTTTATGTGTTTCAATAATGCTTCACTTTGTTTTATGTTGACATTCATATTTTTCTGTTAGTTCATGAATACTTTGTTTACTATTCTTAGTTCTTGCAGGGGAATTGATCAGGAACTTCTTTAAGGATAGTGCTAGTCAATTGACAATCTATGGGTGAGTTTTGTTTTCCGCTTTCTGGTATGCATTCTACCAGGCAAGTTATGGTTTTTTTTTCCCTCTCCTGCAGATTGTTTTGCTTGCAAGCTGGTCTGAAAGAGCGTGAGCTTTGTGTTTTCTTTCGGAACAATCATTTTAACACCATGTTTAAGGTCAGTTTGTATCCTGCATCTTATTACAACTGACAGATCCATGTTATTATTGAATTTGAAGTTTTATTTTGTGGTTGAAAGGGACCATACATTTTGCTTTTTGACTTCATTTGACTTGGCATATATCCTGGTATTTATGTTTATGCAGTTTGAAAGCGAGTTGTATATTTTAGCCACGGACCAAGGGTTCTTAAACGAGCCTAATATGGTGTGGGAAAAGCTGAATGGGGTATGGTTTCTGGACTTAACTTTAAACTTCTATCCTAATTTCCTAATCAGATTGGGGACTCTTATAAATTGCCCCTAAAGTATGGATCTCAGCTCTTGGGTTCTCAATTTCTGTTCAGTTGCTCCAATTTGTTAAACTTAAGTTATTTCTGTAAAGTGAAAATGAAGGTCTGGCCAACACATGTACACTTAAGTGAAGCTCTCAATTTATAGGTCTACACTGGTCATTGCAATAAAACCCTGTTAACACCCCCGCCTTGCTGTTTATTTTTCCTCAGATATGCCGTTGCACTTTTAAGTTTCAGTGCTTTTCAATTTTCTTTACAAAGTCTTTACTTTGGGCCCACCATTGACAGCTACTCCCAAGCCTTCGACCTCTGTATTGCATATCCACAAAAATGTCACCATTGATGTCTACTGTTTTTATGATCTCCCCTGATTAGAAGACTTGGGTGGATTATAACCACTGCTGCTTGCATTGGTCTTTAGGTGACTGGGGACACAAATTTTGTGACAAGTAACTTTAAGGAGTTCAATAATCCTGGGGATGAATATACTGCCGACTTTAAGGACTTCACTATTCCATGGGATGATGATACTGACGAGGCTTCTAGTGCCGTATGTAGTTTTTTTTTTTTTTTTTTTTCTCTAAAATTAATGTGGTGAATTGTTTTGATGCATTTTTGAAACTTGACTTCAAGTATCGTGCAGGACTTTCTAGAGAGCTTAGGAAATGCAGTGAGGCATAAATATTTCGAGTAAAAGTTTAATTAATTTCCACTTATTTATATTTTGTCTTACATGTGATCAGACACTGGTTGCAATTTATAGTTGAAGGCAGACTGAATTTTGGAACACGTCATCTTAGATCCTGCTTGGTAACAATCATGTATGTTGTTGTTGTTTGCCAGTCCTGATATGCAATTGGAAATATCACTTCAGCAGCAGGATTCAAATCGTAATCAGGCCCAACCCACTGGTGATGATGTGCCAAGGTTGAAAATAATTGGTCCTCGGCGACAGGTTATTTTTTATTTTTTAATCTTAGAATTTTAGCAGATTCTTTGAAGTTTGCTTTTGTGTGTGTATGTGTGTGCAAATTGCTAATTCACTGGATTATGCTTTTATGATGTTCTACAGGTATCAAGGCACAATAGCAACCGATCGACTTCCTCTTCCAAGAAGGAATCAAAGCCAGCAAAAGAAAAGTGTACTGTGATGTAAATCCAACCTCGGTGTGTATTGTAAATAATGTGACTTCAATTTTTGTTTTGTTTCGATTATACCCATATTCATCTTCATCAAATTTGCAGGTAAAACCCAGTTTCCACATAGCTGTATAGTTACTTGCAAAGTCAAATATCCCTCCCTGTTGATAGTTGAAGGTGGTCCATACATATCCCTGTTGTGTATAAAGAATTCTTTCTCTTCTGGACAGATAGAGATATTATAAATTCTTCATTCTCAGGAGTGTTTAGGCAGCAGAGAGTTGCAAAAATATTAAACTCTCTTGCTTTCTTTTTTGCAATACTGTATATTCTTTCTCTAATACAACTCTTTTTTCTTTTGTATGTACAAGTACAACTGGTAATAAAATTTAGCATATTCTTCTTATCAAGTTTACAAGTTTGATGTAATTTTTGATTGTCTTTTTCATGTCTTAATTAAGTTGGATGGGGGGTAGGGTAGGGAATATTGACCTATTTGCTTTCAATTTCCCATCTCTTATCTTGATTTGGAGGCTTATTATTGCTCCAGGTTACTTAGGACTTAGGAGGCAGAAAAATTAATGATATGAAAAACAAATTGGGCTTTTTATTTTGGGAAAATGAAACTTGTCATTGAATTATAGGGAAATAGCATTTTTTAGATCTTAGTTATATTTGTTAGTTGTTACTTTTTGCCCATTAGTAAAAAAATAAAATAAAATAAAATAAAATTACTTCAAGTGACTAAAAAGGGGCCAATACTGTCCATTTCTTTAGGATCACACACTTGTGTAAGACCGTCTCACGGATAGAATTCGTAGTTCGGGTTGAATCAAGTTGGATCAATATTGAAATGTAATATTTATATTGAAAAATGTGATATACGGAATAAAGTGTTTGCTACTTATAAGATATATAAAAAATGTAATATTTTTACATTTTTCATGAATATAAAAGTATTATATTTTTAATCAAAAATATTACGCTTTCTCTTATAAATAATATTAACAAATGTTTGTTAATTATAAGGTAAAATATAATACTTGAGTACCATTTATAAAAATGAAAAAAATAATTAGATTCAAATGTAAATTTACTATACGATAGGATAAATAATTTATTATTAAATTAGGATGGAGTGACCATTTCTTTCTTTCATAAATTGTTATCAATCCACAAAGCATTGCATAGCTAGGCAGGGGTGCCATTTCTTATCAGATTAAAAACGTCATTATTACTCGAGTTTAACGGGCGTTTGGTTGGAGGGAATTACAATTTCATTCCTACTTAATTCTTACATAATTTCGAAGGCAAGTAAATTTCTTCGTTTGGTTGGAGGGAATTACAATTCTGCGGAATTGAAATTTTCTCATTTTCATTGAATTAGAATCCCATGTCCCCCCCTTATATTTCAATTCTATGAATTTTAAGAAGAACCAAAAAAAAAAAAAAAAAAAAAAAAAAAAAAAAAAAAAACTTCGAGACGAAATTATCCTTCTCTATTTTTAACCTGAAATTGATGTTTGACCTCTCTCTTTTGATTATAGCGTGTTTTCTTCTTATACTCTTAACACAAAACGTCAATCAATAGGCCAACCTCAACCAAATATGTTTTCTCGAAATTCAGTTATCTATTTTATTACTTTCATTATGCAATTCTAGAGTTCATTTATACGACGTTTTACATAATTTTTCAAAAGCAAAATTTTAATTTAGTCATTTAGGATTTATAATAATAATAATAATAATAATAATAATAATAATAATAATAATAATAATAATAATAATAATAATAATAAATATGGTCATTTTGAACTTTATACTACTTATTCCCTTTCCATTCCCATGTATACCAAACATTAGAATTGAAATTACCAGTAATTTTATTTTTACAAACCAAACACTGGAATTTAAATTAACACTTTATTCTCACATTATTTTCTCCTATGAAATTACAATTATTTTCCCACCTAATTCCCTCATTCCAACCAAAAAGTCTCGTAAAAGGAGAAAAAGGAAGAAAAAAAAAACATATACTCCGTACTCAAAAAAATTAATAATACTCCACTACTGGGGCTCGATCATGTGGTATACATTCAATAAAAAATTCATAAAAATATCATCTGAACACAAAGTGTTTGACAAAAATAATACATACTTAATTGCAAAAATTTTAAAATTAATTTTCTTTAAAAAATGAGTAAAGAGTCCGTCCGTATGAATAGTGGGGGACCATCCTCCCCTTCCAGTCTTAATCTTAGGACTGGGAATACGACAGCCCTACAGCTGTGAGAGTGACCCCACCCCTTCTCCCAACCAACAACGACTTCACTATTTTAGATTTTTCTTCTTTTTTTTTCTTTTCTTTTTATAATAAAATTATTTGTGTAGTTTCTTTGTCAAACTTGATTTGTTGTTGCTAAAATTCCTTTTTTTAATTTGGGAAATTAGTAATAGTTGTAGACTAGTAGTTGTGGAGGTTTGATATCACTATCTATTTAATTTTATGAAACACTTATACTTTTGTTTTTTTAAAAAAACGAAGAGATCAATGGTATAAATATGATAAAATTCGTAATTTATTTATTTATTTATTAATTAATGATAACTCAATTACAAATTTATATAGAATGTTAAGTGATATACTAAAAATATGTGAAATGGATAGTATTGTAACATATAATAATAATAATAATAATAATAATAATAATAATAATAATAATAATAATAATAATAATAATAATAATAATAATAATAGTATGTCAAATTAAATAACTTCATATCGTACATTACTAATTATCATCTTGCAATAACTCTCATTTGATGATATTCAAGATGGAGCATTCATCATTCTACTCTAGAAATGTTTTACTCTAACAACTATATAATCGAGAAAAGAGATTCAAGGTCTAATTGGTTTTTTATTTTTATTTTTTTTTCTTTTTTTGAGAATTTGTAATATGATCTTAGAGAATTTGTTACCAAAACATTAAAAAAAAAAAAAATAAATAAGGATTGCATCGCAATATTAAGGGTGCATTCCTAACTCTATTCTAAAGTTTTAATGGAAAAGGTAAAGCGCAATATAGCTTAACGGTGTATCAAACTTTATCCTATGTGTTAGACCATTTGTTTTAGTGGAGTAGCTGAAGATTAGATTCACTTTATATATTGCACTTTATATTTTTAAAAATATGGATAGGATTTTAACTCATCGCTTCAACTAGAAACAAAAACCTAATAAATGCGATTTTTTAAAGGATTATTGTGGATGCTATTGTTGGCTTCAGCCATGGGGATGATTAATCAAACCTCATTTGTGGGCCAATACTTTGTGTTTAGTTTTAAAAAAGTTTTACAATTTTCCTAAAAGGTTGAATTTCCAACGCGAACTGAACTGTCCATGCGGACAAAAGTTTTATAATGTTAAAAATAAATATAGATTACTATATTGATGGAGTTAGATCCGGGCCCAATAACAATTGGTCAAGAAGAGATTTATAATATTGCATAGTTCAAGTTAGGTCGAAACCAACAAAAATAAGGAGGCACAACCACAAAGACATGAATCCTTAACTTACAAGTGTATAACTAAACTAGTCTATAATATCTCTTATACAAGTAGAAGAGTAAAAATTATCTAAGGAGAATGATGTGGGGTGGTGACCCGTGGTAACGACAAGTGGATGGACGGGATTGATCGATGCATAATAACCACTCATTTCATGGGTGTACAAGGTTGATCGATGCATGATAACCACTCGTTTCATGGGCGGACAGGATTGATCGAGACATGACAACTACTTATTTCACAAAGTGTAGACACTATAAATAGGCCCCCTTGCCCCTTCTATCCTCAATCGCATCACCAACAGACACTTAGTCTTGAAGTTTCTTCTCTACCCTTCCAATGTATGTCTAAATATCCTAGGTAGATAGGAAGTCTTGCAGTTTTCTTTTTATATATAATAAAATAAAAAATTGTTAGTATTTTTTTTAGAGTGAATTCCATTTTTGGTCATAGTGAAAAGAAAAGTGAAACCGATAGTGAAAAGAAAAGTGAAACCGATAGTGAAAAGAAAAGTCTAAGTACAAGAGAGCTAAGAGAGTTATTCATGAAAAAGTATTTCCTTTTGCAATTGAGATGGGATCAAAGGAATATCGGTCAAAACATTCGCAAAAATGTCCGGATATTAGCTCTCCCGAAGAGCTCGATAAATCTAGAAACCATGACTCTATCATGCATTGAAAGGAGAAAATTACAATTGAATGTAATGTGGAAGTCGAAGAGCAATTTGAGCATTCTAAAATTTTTCAAAAGCATAGGAGTGGTTGTGGACTGCCTTGGACTGTCTGTAAAAAACAATGGGCAATTTCTTATGTATCAAACCATAGGTATTTCGTTGGTTCATAAGAGTAAAAACAAAACTAATCAACAATATCGAAAACAAAGAATAATTCGAGCTAGAGAGAACAATCATTTTGATGCGCTTGTTCTTGAAAATATTTTATCGTCTAGACGTCGTAGAGAATTGAGAATTCTAATTTGTTTCAATTCAAACAATTGGAATGATGTGGATACCAATTCCGTATTTTTCAACGAAAACGGGGTAAAAAACTGTAGTCACTTTTGGGAAGAAAGGAACCTACTGTTATAGGGGCGTTTCCAATTTTAGTCCAGTTTAATTTTTTTGTCACTTTATAACCACTATTATTGAATGTGATCCACTTTTAGTCCCACCGTTAGTATTTCCATCAAGAGGTCGTGTAATCTAGGGTATTTTGACATTTCTTCTCATCCAAGACTATGTTTGACTAAAGAAATGAGAACATTAAACCTAAAACCTAAGAAACCTCGCCGGCCCATGTTGGAACGAATGAAAAGATGTAGCTTTGGCTTCCCATTCTCGTTGTTTGAAGAGCCATCTTCGAATATCGGAGGAGGAGGACGAAGCGTCTGGATTAAAAGAGAATAGACAAACATAAAAAGACCAAAATATCATTGGATTATACGGCCTCTTGACGGAAATATTAACGGTGGAGTAAAAGTGGAACACATTCAATAACAGTGGTTGTAAAGTGGCAAAAAAAAAATTAAGGTGGTCTAAAATTGGAAACGCCCCTATAACAGTAGGACCAAAAATGGAATTGACTATTTTTTTTTATATAGAAAACATTGTCAATATTTGTTAGGAATATAATCCTACGAAAAGGATTATTTTCACAAAAAAAAAAAAAAAAAAAAAAAAAAAAAAAAACACAAGGAAAAACGAAAAGGTTTAGGGCTAGTATGAGTCGAGCGGAACACTTTTTTCTTAAAACCTTATTTGCTACTTGCCAAATGTGCTAGGAGCGTTGTAGCCTAGGTTTCCCATGATAAAACGTACT